AAAAAAATTGCCAAAAATCAACGAAATTTTTTAGCAGCTTGAAACTTGCACTTCTTCAGACTAGAATTGAATGGGCTATAAAACTGCATACCAGAATTTTCTCTGAAGATTCTGATTAAAAAGTTTGATATTTTGGTGAAAATTTACAGAATTTTAATAATTTTTGTACAAAGGTTGAAATCTGAATTTATTCGTTGTTTGTTGTATACCCAGCTTGACTTTTGTATAAAAATAATAAACATTAAATAAACAAAAGACAAATAGCAAAAACTGACCAAAATAACGCACTCCTATTATTTTGTGGACCACTGTATGTACATATGTACCAGTGGTGTGCATACTTAAAAACTGTTTTTATTTCAAGTTCCTGTTTGGATGCTAAATCCCATATACTTAGTATTAAGATGTGTCTAAATACTAAAGTGAAAAACCTTAGGTGTATGGGTATGCGTAAATATGACGATAAATGAAATGCTTCGCGATTTTCGGGATTTTATTAACTTTCATGTTTTTAAGGATTTTTTGTGATTGTTCGTGTTATAGTTACTTTTCGCGATTATTGAAGGAGATTTGGGGATTTTTCCTAATATTTAGTGTTCAATTTTCGATCAATTATAGTTTAGCAATAAAAGATACTGATGCTTTGTCTTGATGCATTTCTGAACGCACCCATAATTACTTTTGTACGCGATAATTCGCTATGTAAAAGTAACTAAATATTTTTCTACTCAGTATTTAGTCCCGTGAAAATAGATAAGTACATTTACTTAAAGTACTTAGTACATTAAAAATACTATCATACTCCTAAATACATAAATACTTTTGCGGTATTAACAGCGTGTCGCATTGTCGTATGTCGTAAACTTTAAAAGGTTAAATAAATGTTTAGAAAACTTGAAAACACAACCAACTATTTGTTAACAGTGTGAAAATTCATAATATGATCTTTATGGTATCTTGCGAAGCTCCTAAATATATTTTTAGATGTTTAAAAGTTTACAACAAACAACAAAACAAGGGTGCATTCCAAAACTTCAAAATACAAAGCATCAGTCTCTTTTCTTTCTAAACCGCACTAGAAGAAAAAGCCTAACGCGCGCAACCTAGCAGAAAACCAGCATCTAACCGTGGATGCGCATATTTGGCATTACAATCTACTGAGGTTTAGAAATAAATTAGACTGATGCTTGGTATTTTGACGTTGCATCCCAACTCTTAAGACACCATAACCCATTTTATACTTAGTTATTAGTATTTAGTAAATACAATTTTGCCTATCACTGATGTGTATGTATGTATTAGGGATATTAATTTTTTCCGATTTTTGCGATCCGGGGATTTTCGGGGCATCGTTCATACAATTAGATATTCATTATTTGCCAACAACTCAACATGAAAAAATTGCATCAATATAGTTTGAGAAGCTGTCCTACGATATAATATATAAAATATAATAAATAAGAATTAATAAAAAATAAATAAAAAATAAATGGGTTTGAAACCTACTTTATTATTTAAGTTGAAAAATATTTCATTAGTAACAAAACCAAAGACAGTAATCAAATTTATACGCACTTAACAATACTTAAGCGTGTACATATATGATAAAGTAACTCAAGGCAAATTCATAATACTAGCGGCAGAAATAAAAGAAACACCTTATTTTAACTAGTTTAGTCTATATTTCTAGTCTATTAAAAATTTAAATTTTTTTATAAAAGTCTACCTCATTTTACATATAATTAACTGCATTTCAAAGCGCATTTCAAAATTTGTACAAAATAGATAGAAATCCAATAAAAGTTGCCAAAATTTCAAACTTTTTACTCGGCATTTTTAGAAAAATTTGATGTACGCAGTTTTAGCATACTTTGTATGGAAGAAAATGCGTGACATCGCCAGCAAAAAAAATTATAAAGAATCCAAGTTACTTTTAGTCACTTGAAACTTGCACTTTATCCTCCTGAAATTTAAGGGGCTATGCTGGGCTATACTTTATAAAATTGCGTACCTAGAATGTTTCTAAATATTCTGAGTAAAAAGATTGAAACAGGTTGAAACAAAAAAATTCGAAAAAAAAACACCAAGCAATCAATATATTCACGACACTATGGGCCAAATATAGTAAAACTACGTTTTTAAATTTAGATAGATTTTTTTTATTAGAACTTTATAATTTCAATGATATGATAAATCCTAAAAATTATTTAAAAAATTCAGTGCAATGTAGAATAAAAATGGGTACCAAAGTTAAATGAAAATTATGTAGGATTTAAAAAAATTCAAATTTTATGGGTACACAAGGACGAATAGGTATTGAAAATGCCCTTTTAATAAATTTTATTTTTTTAAGCTAATAAAATTAGAAGGACTATATTCGAGACCATTTTCGAGTTTATATTAGTCCTTAACATTTTCAATACCTTATGCATAACAAAATTTAATCTGTTCTTTCTCTACAGAATTTTCTCTTTAATTTGATACCCATACTGTTTTCCTAAGCACATCGCACTAAATTTTTTAAGCCATTTTCTGAATTACTCATATTTTTCAATTTTCAAAGTCATTTAAAAAAAATCCTTACGTCAAGGAGAAAAACTAATATGTAACTTTACTGCATATATTTGGCCCATGGCTTCGCGAATATATTGATTTTTTTGTGTGTAAAATTGCCTGTTGCACGCTGTTATGTGTATGTATAATTAGCTAGACATTTATAAAAAAATATTAATTATTAAATAAACAAAAGAAATATAGCAAAAACTGGTCACATGAGGCGTTTCTATTATTGCTACCATTGCTAATTACAAATCCCGAAAATCCCGGAATTCTTGGCAAATAATCCCGGGATTTTCGGCACTTAAAAAAGGCCGGGATCCCGGGATTAACATCCCTAGAATGTATGTATATAGTAGCGGCAATCAATAGCCCTGCTACCCTTGCACAGATTATTATGAAATGGATGTACATACGTATGTATTATGCAAAATGATGGCTGAAATGATTTTGTATGAAAAAAGACACGAATAAACATGCTTGGAAAATATCAAACAATACACAACAAACAAAATATGTAAATTAAATCTTTGACTAAAAAAATCATTCGAGAATTTTTCTAAATAAATAAAATTATAGTTCAAAAAACTAAAAACTCGCTTTTATTACAATATGAACTAAAAAGTAAAAAAATATTTAGAGAAATACAGATTTCGTTTATGAGGTATTGGAAGTTGTCTAACTTTAATTATTTTAATCCTATATTATGTTGCTTTTAAAAGTTTAAGGAAGGAAGTTAAGGAACTTCCTATTTCTCCTAAACGAAATCTGTTTTTCTCTAAATTATTTTCACTTTTTTGTTCACATTGTAATGAAAACGAGGTCTACGTTTTTTAAACTATAGATTTATTTTCATCTATTTAGTCTTAAACTCAATTGATTTTAAAACTATGATAAACAATAGAATAACGCGCGAAATCAATCTTTAGAATTTTCAGTCGTACTGTCATCAGGTAACTTTAAAATGGAAATTTGAAGCAATTCCCATACGTACTGTCATTAGGTATGCAAATTGATAATGGAAATTGCTGCAACTTTTAGGCGCACCATTATTACATAGTTACACCCCAAGCTAACAAAGCGAGGTAAAAAAATTAACCCATTTTTCTAACAATTTTTTGCCTTAAATAATTTATTTTAAACTTGTACCCGAGAATATTTCTTTTACTCCAAAGAGAGAAGTAGAAATGATCGCGAACGAATGTGTCGGTAAATTTAAAAATGTTTTTTAAAATGCCCAATTTTTACAAAAGATACAGAATCTGGCTTCTTCTTTTAGCAACTTTATTTTAAGTGAAGCTCATGGACTCCTACATTACTGCAGTTTTTCTGGCTTAGGTGAATTTTTCGGGAGGACCGTTCTTCCAGTTTGAACACACTTTCTTTGAAGCAACTACTTGGTCTCGCCAATTGCGCATTGTACTTATTTACGTGGCCATCCAGTCAAATAAAATATACATGCATACATACGTAGATTACGTGCCTAAGGAAAAATGTGACCCCAAATATCTGCCGTTTGACCTGCCATAAAATGATTTATGCAATATATTCGACAAGTTTTAATCTCTTGTGCGTTCAAGCAAAAACAGTGTTTTTAACAGTACGCGATATCACTTTTAGACAAAATGGATCACAAATTTACTGTTTTAGTCCGGTAGGAGTCTCGGCTATTGATTGCAGGTTGTACGATTATTCTTAGATAACTCTTACCGATATAATACACCTTTAAGCTACCTTCATTTAAAAAGATCCAAAAATTCTTGCATACCTAAAATACGCAAAGCATTTATAAGCGTTCCCCAAGAAACTCGCGCGTCCAATCCGGTTAAGTACGCCGAAAGTGTTGTGCGTCGGAATGTAGTCACTTCATGTTGTTCCTGTTCGCTTGCATCTGGATGTCTAGTGGCAAATAAAGTCATCAACTTGAACAACTCATCGACTGCAGCTGCATATTGCGTCGGATGTGGTGTTATATTCTTGAAAGCCCACTGTAAATTCTGATGCGCCGCGAGTTGGCGTGTAAGTGCCCGACTCTGCTCGCAACACAAACGCAACAAGCCATAATAGGCGGGCAACATAGCGCGATTGTAGGCGACTATCTCGGAATCGTCGTGATCGGCACTATTAGCGGTAAAAGATGGAACATACGATATGTTCATACACATGTGAATTCAATGACTCATTGTTACTTACAGAATGTAATTAAATGCAATATTCCGCGTTATTTCGTGACAGTTAGCCACAATAAGTGCATTTTCGGGACAATCGACAATGGAGTGGTGCCAAAATGCGAGCAACGCATGTTTGTTGTGATGTGCTGGAACACTGGGCTCTGACAATCGTGGATGAAATAGATCCCATAAAGCTCGCATATACGGCCCAATCTATAATTAGTTTAAACAATTTTAACGCTAATCGATTTTAGTCCAGCAACAAACATTAATTCGGCTACTTTACCATTAATTTTTCAGTCTTTGAAACCATGCAGTAGCTAAGTAGGCTAAAGTATGTTGTTAGCTTTGTAGTTCCATGTATTCCAATGTCTGCATAAGCACGAGCCGAGCGCAGAAGCCGCAATAACAAGTTGATGATATTGTGCAAAATTATTTGAGCGTCGCTATTCAAATCGCTGTAACGAGTAAATGAAAACCTGTCAACTTGGAAATTCACACCCCTATTGCGAGTGTCGACTAGTAGATAATAGATAAACGACTATTATTCGATTACCGCTTTTCCATGGTATTGTGAATGTCATTTTCTCGTTCAATAAGTGTGAATAAATTATAGTCGTTCATCCTTCTACAAACAAACAGTTGAAGAAGGATGAGCGACCAAAAACTATTCACAGTCGCTTATTGAACGAGAAATCGACACTCGCAATACCATGGAAAAGCCATAATCGAATAATAGTCGTTTATCTATTATCTACTAATCGACACTAGCAATGGGGGTGTTAGGGTAATATTTTGCTTGAACTTACCGGTAAACATGCGCCGACAACTTATGCAGAGAATGTGTACGGAAATTCGCTCTGAATGGTTGCGATGGCACCAATGAAACAAGCAAATACGCAGCAGCTATTAAGTAACAAGGGGTATATCAGTTTGTGTAAGAATCTAAATGGATACAATTAAATATACATACCATTGCGTACGCGCGAATTATTATGCGCCAGCAGATATTGCTCCACCCAATTATCAGCCGACTGTAGTATCCATGCGTGAGCGATTTTATTTTTGGGCGCTTGGAAAGCCAGCCAATCAAGTGCAGACTGTGGGCAATACTCTGCCGCATCCCAAACACGTTGCAATACCAGCTGAGAGAAACATGGCAAACCCGAAGGACCACCTTGAGTTTCAGTAAGTAACGTGAGCAGCTTAAAAAATGGCCCACACAGTTCTGTGTGCTTGGTAACGGACGAGAACAGCATGGTAATTATCTGATTCGCTAAACGATCATCCCAACGACAAAGCGCGTGTATAAGATGTTTGGTCTGATGGGGATTAATGTTATCCTTGATTTGTTGGTACAGGAATGGAAAGCCCTGGCGAAAATTAATTGGTTAAAAATTCGATTAAAACAATTTCAGTCTTTAGTAATTTAGTTATATAGTCTCCTTTGCCCTCGACCAGAAATCTACTTATCATTACTAGCAGGTCTAAATTAGACATTTTTTATATAATATAATTCCAAAAATATAGGCACCCATATATTAGCCGCTTCTTTACATAAAAATCCGCCTGGTGGTGGGAAAAATGCCACCTTTACACCTTGACGATACATACTTACATATATTTGTTTAAATAAACTGATAACAGAGATCTGTTTTAACGTAAAGTAATAACTTATTTTTATATAGCCATCTCCATCTTAGAAAGTTCAAATTTTTTTAGTTCCCGTCCATTTCGTGGAAAATACTGACCATTTTAAAAACTTCATACTTCGCAGAGATGAAGCTTCCTGACATGCTAATTGGTTATTGAACAAAGGTTTGAGCGTTGGTCTGTCAATCTATCCAGGTTAGAACTTTGGACATTGATAGTTATCTTACCTTGCCGCCAGCTATCGCATTATAATCTTTTGTTGAAAGACGCAATCGGAAATCCTGTCCGCGCGAACGTTCTACTAAATTTGCCACTAACGCAATCATTTTATCCAATGATGCAGGTCGGGTTTTGTCTACTGATAAAGCCTCATCCGATGAATTGTCATCGTTATCGGAACCAACATCGATCTGCAAGTACAATATAAAAAAAAATTTTAAATATGTATATAGTTACTTTCCTATAAAAAAAAAAAATATTTTCTATTTCCCGTACTCCCCGTCATGTATACAGTACTTACACAATCCTGTGTCTTATTGCCTAAGTAAAAGTCCGCAACACTCTTTATGACATTAATGCGTAGCAAAAATACCGTCTCTTCATCGCCCATTCGCGAGAATTCGAAGAGCAACCCAAAGAATTCGGACAAGTGTCGTAAATGCGCTTTAGCACCGTGTTCCATTAGTAGTATAAGTGAGCTAATAAAACGAGTTACGCATGAAGCATTGCCCATCACCTCTTTGCCGTCATCATCGGTTTCCGTTTTCAAATATAAATGAGCATGTGAAGATCTAAAACCCCCAAATGTAAAACGAATAAAAATTCAGACCAAATCAGTATCTGCACATAAGTATTTATATATTGCGTGTACATGCCTCAGCCTTTGTATGACATGTATGACAAGCCTCTGGAACATTTGTCGCACCATTTGATTGGGACACTGTATTAGCACTTGAACAGGCCACCACGGTTCAATGGACATGTGTGTCAAGAACCATTCGCATGCCTCTTGACTGGCGTTAAATTGCTTTGTTAACAACTCGATCCAAGGCACCATTGTAGGCTAAAGCAAAATTAAATATGTATGTATGTTTCTTAATTTGTGATATAGAAAAGTTGTATGATAGCAAGTTACCTTCTCCTTGGCATGTATGAACGTTTCAATGAAGAATGAAACTGACAACTTAGCTGCCATACAAGTAACATCAGTTTGCGCCAGTAGAGTTTGCGGAATGTGGCCACATATTTGCCACATGAAACTGGAAAACAAGGAGTTGCAATTTAAGTATGGGAAGAAAAAAACATTATTTTACTTGAAATATGTGTGCTCGAAAATATTGCGGTCTTGTAAAAACTGTCTGTTATCTTGCCAAATCCAATCCTCCAATTCCTTATTTAAATGTGGTATTTGCAAACGAGCACTTTTGATGCTAACTTCAGTTGCCATTTTGTTACTAGCAGCCGCTGCAGCTGAAGTAGACGCTTGTGGCTCATTACTGTCTGCATCGCAGACACTGGCTTCCGATTTTTTGCCAATAGTGTCTGTGACTTTTGCTTCTTTTTCACTTTTAGACTTACTACATGCTTTTTCCATATCACTCTTGTCCTTTACACATGAGTCTACAATTTCCTTTTTGCCAACGCTAGATTTCACAGTCTCTACCTCGTCATTAACTGCGCTTATTTTTCCACTGTCTGTCAGGCGAGCGCTGGAAGAAGGCGATGCCAGCAACTCCGAATGGCGCTGTTTTAAATGCTCTGGCAGACGACGTTCATAGAATAGCATATAAGCAGAGTTGGTTTTCTCAAAACTAAAGTCCATATATTTTTCCGTGACAGAGTCATAAGTTTTGCTCTGAAAAAATAACGTAGTTTACATTAAACCAAATATTCGGATGAATACCATAGCCATTTGCCTAATATTGGAAATAGTAATTACACAAAATTTTTTAACTCTATGGCTGCAGAGAGGGCAAAACATCACTTTTTAATGTTACAGCCGAACATAATTGAACTTTGTCCAATTTTCGCAATATTCAGCCAAAACCGAACTGAAGCAAACATATTTAGAGGGATGGGTACAAAACATCTGACCATTGTTTTTTATGAAAATTCAGATTTTCAGTATAACGCTAAGGAGCAGAGTAATTCGTGCCGAATTAGTTACCCAAACAGTGAGTGTCATTCCACAGTGAGCAATGTTTTCTACTACCCAGAAGATAATTTAAGTATGCCTTCTTACGTGAAGCCATTCTAAAAGAAGGGCTGAAAAAAGTGCTTCCTTGCATGCCTTCTAGAAGGGCTTACCCATTTACAATATACGCGAATGCATAAATACATTTTATTTAGAGTTACAAATGAATTTCAATTAACATTTTAAGTTGCAATAACACATATTTGTTAAAAACCTTAAAAGAACTCCTCCAAAACACCTTCTGAAGTACGTGCTATAAAAGCCCTTCTGGAAGGCCTCTCATGTGTAGCGAAAGAAGAAGCCCTTCAAATTGTGCAACTCCATACAAAAAAAGAAAGGAATGTAGAGTGTAAGGCCTCTTGACTGGAAGGCCTTTCGCAAGGGCGTTTAACTCCTGAAATTATCTACTGGGTATGGTCTTGAAAAAAAAACTACTAGAAAACTTATGTTAATACACATGGAATCAAGATGGTGGCTTATATCGACGATGTAGCCGTACTTGCATCGGGTAGGTTTCCTTCGGTTATAAACGTAGTAATGAACGATGTGTGAAACCGTAGAAAATTTTTCTGATAAAATCTATAAATAACGCAAAACCACAAAATTTTACTGAACTTGGAATTTTCCGTAATCCAAATCTAATAGCAGGCGTAGGGCACTGTGGTCCAGCGTCATAACTGTTACAAAAATCTTTATAATAAAAAACAAAAGTCGCTAGGCGGCGCTGATGTCGAGACATTTGTAAAAATCGTTACCTTAATATAGAAACGCCCTATCCCACATTTTTGTTCCTTCATATAATGCAAATTTTGGGAAAATCAAAGTTCTACAGTTGCGAATTTCGTCGAAGTGTTGATTTTTATTTAACATAATAAGTGGCCCCGGGCACCCCAGTGTTAAACGAATCAATTTTAATTTGTTGGCCGCCATATTGGATTCGCCATTATGGGCCAGTTTTTCTTTACCAGTGCATAATGCCATCCTAAATAGAACCCCATCTAATAAAAAAAAGCGCTGACTACTGAATATATAGTATCAAAGACCTGAAAACGTTTCCGCATTACGCAGGCGGCAATTCAGGCGCTATTCGCTTCCTCGGCTAGAGTTGGCTTCAATTTCTTCGGGATCTATACTATATGTGTCTGACGCGGTTGGCCGTCTCGATCAGGGAAGTCAAAACAATATTTCGTAGACATGTACTCAAATGTACAGCACGAAAGCTAAGCAGCGATGAAGCTGTACAGGCTGTACGACTTTCTGCAACGGACACTGGCCTGGGTGTGCGCAGGTATTTGCACTACATATTTAATTCAAATATTTTGACTGCGGTAAAAAATACAAATTCTCAAAAGCCAATACAGTTCTGAACCAACCTCGAAATATTCTCAAATACTCGACTCAAGCGCCTATTGGATCGTTTTCATTTTAAAATTAGTTCTCATCATGTGGGTAGAATATAGTATAAATGTACGCTGAGAAAAAAAAACATATCAAAACGACCTTTCGTTTAGTATAAAGAAATTTATTTTTGAAGATTTTTTCGTGGAATACAATTTTGTTTTGCATTTCACAGATGCTTCTTCGTAATTAAGAAAAAACGAAAAAATAAAAAATTATTTGCTCCATCTAATTGCAAAAGCAAAGCCTTTTCCCTGTTTCCAACTGCAACACCTACGACTTCCATGTTTTGGGTCGTTATATTCTGAAAGCACTTGATCTCGGCTTCTTCCTCCAAAAAAATTATCCGTTGATGGCAGAAATCCACGAAGGTATATCGTCAATATTAAGTTGGCTTCCAAATTATTAATTTACCCAAACCTTTGTCTTGCAGAATACCAAAACATGAACCTTTCCTGGATGTTTTACATACCGCTGGAGCAACCTGCTGCCTTTAGTGAACCAGGCACGCTTAATGGCATTTGTCATCCAAAAGGAGGACTCATCTGTGAAAACCACTTGGCTCCAATCATCATCCTACATGTCAAGCCACCAATTCTTGACGTTGTTAGTAAAAGATCATCGCTGATAAAACAGTTTCTTATTTTGTTCAGGCACATGTATGCCCTTCTTGAGGTAGCTCTGAAAATACCGCAATTTGGCAAGTCGTCCACATTTTTGCATACCAAAAACTCATGGTTTCAATACTAAACAAGTAATTTTTAGCAAAAATAACCTACTTCAATTCTCATACAAAAAAAAATATATATATATTTCATGATCCAGTGATCGGTTCTAAACCAGATTAATATGGGACCACCTCTGAGACACTAACTTTTCGATGCAAAAAGAATTATCGAAATCGGTTGACGTGGTCCAAAGTTATGCGGTAACATACATAAAAAAAATATTCCGACGAACTGATAACCTCACTCATCTTTTGGAAGTCGGTTAACAAACGCTTCGACTTTTTAAGAGTAATTTACAACTCAAGTGAGACATCTTGGGTAATTTCGGATGGGAGCAAAGTAAGACGGCCTCAGAGCTTTCGTGTGTGCGGAACACATTTTTTAAATATAATTTTTCATCGACAGCGTGTAAACCCGATGTTATGAAAACAATCACTCGCTGGGTTTTTAATGTTGTATTTGCTAAGATCGGATACCGTATTCGTAAGGTTTCAATGCAAATTAATGCGATTTTTTTTTTTATCTAATGCAATTTTTTTTTGTACCGAAAAATGTTGCTCTCTCATTTCTCTCTGCGCACAAATACTAAAAAGAGGACATTGAAAATGCAATGTTTTTTGTAGAAAAGTAAACGCCATAAATTATAAAGCTTAAGAACTTTTGAACACAAACAATTGGTTTTCTGGCAAAATAAAGCATTGTATTTTAAGATAAACCGCACAAAATCAGAACTTTTTCTTTTCCCTATTGCTATTCCTTTCATAATGAAATACCTCGACTCGAGCTACATTTTTTTTACATTAACCCAGACGGACTTGGTTGCTTCCAAAATGTACTTATAGCACGGTTCTTTTTCCACTCAGAAGTAGTTCCACAAACAAGAAGTCTTTAAGTCACTTTTATACAGGCGTGAAACACAGCAAGAACGGTTCTTTAAGAAGGCAATTTTGCGTGAGGTGGTTTTTGTTGGTTTGGAGAGTTTTGGAGAGCTTTGTAGAGTTTTTATTCTCGTTCGGCTTGGAAGTTCTCAACATGTGAACAAATTTACTTATACAATGCTAAATTTAAACCAAATCAGCTCATAAATATAAATACAATTTTCAAAATATGTCTACTGCTGCGAATCTACATAAATAAATTTACAAACTTTCTCCAGTAATTGCCCAACAACTCGCCGGAAATTCATCGCAATCCGATGAAAGGTTTCAAACGTACATAATAAGTTCTTTGTAAATGGGCAATTCCATTGTGAATGGCGGGACATTTTACTCCAGAATGTAATCAATGTGAATTGTAACTATGTCGTCGAAACTTATGCAACCGCGAAAGGTATTTTTTAACATAGAACGATAACTAATGTATAAAATTGCTTTAACGAAAATACCAAACATTTTCTTAGTTTTATGTAACTATCATTTGAATGAATGTGACTGGTAGGATACTGAAAAGAACTCTATTTTCTAATTTCTTTTATTTTCCCCCATACAAAATTTACCCAGCATAATTTATGTATTTATATACTTACAGTCATTTCACCACCAAAGCACTCAGCTGCGATTTGGGATGGGTCAAACGGTTTCACTTCAGCATCGTTGAACAGGAACCAGCGGTCATGTTGCAAAACTGATTTGTTTCTTTCTTTAATAAAACTATAGTAATGTCCGCCATCAGCTGTGCCCGTGTGTACAGTTACGCCTACTAGTTCATATCTAAATGTAAATGAACAAAAAAAGCCATATAACATACATATGTATGTATTAGATTTACCACTCGAAATAATTTTTTAAATTTTTTGCCAATCATCTTGCAACTGATTTTTCAATTGCCTGGCTGGATACTTACTCTAAACATTCGTCAATGTCTTCATCTATAGCTTTGTTTGCGCCGTCATTGTCCGTGTTTTGCTTTTCTTGTTCTTGTTTTCGTTTTTCACGCTCCTCTGTGTCCCACCGAACAACAGAGAGAAAATTAAAATCTGTTGACAGGCAGACAAACACGCTACTTACCCTTATATTGGTGAGGCATTAGCGTCTTCTCCACGTAATCAGCCATGCTCAAGACCATGGGGAACGAGAAATGCGTATTAACTTTCTCCTTTAGCATAGTTACCATATTGAAAGTGTATCGCATTGTATTGAAGCATAAAATTTGTGGCAGCTTCTTGAAGCAGGCACGCTTCTCTGCACGCACCTTCTTGCCGCACTGTGAGCACGTATACATGTTGTCACCCTCAAGCGTATCTTTAACGGTAACCTCATCAAGCGATTCCTGCAGATTACGCATATCGGCGACTTGGCAACGCACCGTATAGAACTCCTCAGCTGTACGTGAAACGTGACCACAGTCAAGCGACACTACATTGTTACTAAGTGTGCCACAAAACAATCGCTTTACAAGATCTTTCAATTCGGGTGTCATCTCCTCCAACTTGGAAACGAGATCGATAAAGAATTCTGCCATATCTTTTTGTTCACCAGTATTTAATGGCTGATGGTCCATCTGGTAGACACGGCAGAAGGAGCGCGGATTGTATGCTTTACGTTCAGATTCCAGCAAGTAGGCAAACATACGTTGCAGTTCCAACAAAGTGGGTCCATGCTTTTGTGCGCCAGTTGGTGGTACATTTAAAATTGCAGCACGAGCTTGCGGCATCATATAGAGATGTTGTATGCAGGAGGCCATGTAGCAGGTCGCGCCTAAATTCGTTAAGCCCACAAAGCCACATTCGGAACGACCTTCATCTCGTGGCCAATAGTCCCATGGATATGGTGCTTTGGTACCGGGAGTATGCTGTGCCAGCAGTTTCGCATGCAAAAATACATAATTTTTGGGACAATTTTTACATAGCTCCACTAATAAATCGTATGCAGCTGCTCTTGAAGTCGCTGATTTACACTTCGGCTTATGTCGATTCATAGGTGATGGCATATCAAAGAGAAACTCGAAAATCTTATCAATGAACTGTAATGCTGAACCACTGAATTTGAAGGTGGGGTCGTATTTGACGAAATTTGACATCAAGTTAATGAGTCCAACGAGGCCATCATCCTATTACAACAAAAAAAAAGATAAAACGAAATTTCGGCATGATGATTCAATGTTATTAAGTAGGTTTCCCATATTAATTTAATTTTATCAAGGTCCCAGCAAATAATTTAGGTAGGCCTTCATAAGCTATATAACCGAGCAGTTATACAAGTTCCCACTTCTACTTGACCGTTGTCGTACGTCAAAGAGAACATAGTCCTTTTAATAACATATATTTTTTGTGTTCTCTGCTTTAAATACCTGAATTTCTTTCTTTATTATTATTATTTTTGGACCAATCTTATAAAAAACTACTAGACATAAAAGAAGAAAGTGCGCACTGTAATTTTAAATCAAATTGTCGTGATTTGCTATTGATGTTATATATCGTCACCTGAAATCCAAAAAGACGTTACAAACATCGTCGCTGAAATACAAAAAGTCGTATCTGATAAAACATTCAAAATTCTGTTTTTGATTGATATGATGGATTTCATCGAATTTCAACTCCCACATCAGTTATGGTGTTGTCACGTTTTTTTTTTGCATTTCAGGTGCGATATATTCGTTTCAATCATTTCAAATGGGTCTCTTTGGGGAATTTATTTTAAGAAAAAGATTTAGAAACAATCGGGCAATATTTTTTTCATAGATAAATATGTTCATTGGATCCTTGCCTAAAGGCCTCTGTGGTGAAACTCTCCCTCTACGTCCCCCTTCTTTGCTATTTAAAGTGAAAGATTAAGCTCCTACAATATGGACTTCCAGCAGAAATCTTTAACATTTAGCTATAAAGAGAATCGATGCTGAAATATTTAAAAAGCTATAGGTCCGGCCGGCCTTTAAGAAGTAATAAGTTTAAAGACACAAATACTCTAACGACCACAGGCAAAAAATATTGGCTACAATTTGTCATTTTGTTTGTCAGATATACGTTTTATCGGTGCACTTGCACAACATTCGCATTCGCAAAAGCTCTGCATTGATTATTGCGAATGCGAATGTTAAAATTAATGCGGAAGCTCCGCGATTGCGAATGCGAATGCGAATATTCGCAACAACCCTGGTACATACATACGAGCACCAATTAATTTCATTTAAAGAAATGTCCATTTCCGCTATAGCGTACGTAGTGCATAGGGCAACTTCTACCTCTCAACCACGTCAGTTGAGGTTGAGAGGTAGATGTCGCACTATGCACTAAAGTTTTTTATAGGAACTTTTTAGGTTTTATAGCTAAAAATGGTGTCTGGACACACAACATTGCAAGTTGATAAAAGCGTTGTAAAAATAAACGTGAACAACACCGAAAAAATTGAATCAGATTTCTGAAATCCAATGAGACGAATAATTTTTAATTATTAAACAAATGAAAAATAGAAATCTGACGTATAATGAATAATTATTTAATTTGATGATTAAGCTGGCATATGTGGATCTTTGAATCCCCGCCAAAATCGCTTAGGCGGCTACAGCGCCAATAAAGAAGAAGAAGAATCCCCGCCAAGAATTTAAGATTTTATTAAAAAGATAAATGTATACATTGATATTGAATGAATATAAAGAGAAATAACACAAGCAGAAGCTATTACACATGTTTTTGGCCAATGGTGCATGACAGAAAGATAAGCAGAAACTTTTGAACGTGGTCTGTCCCTGAGCGGTATTATCATACGTGCATCAGTGCATCAGCAACGTTATGCACAACAGTTTGAAGATAACCTACTAAGATATGTACATTTATAAAACAGAGGGATAACCTGGCGGTGGTTTTATATAAACCGACCAACCTACCCAAAACCCAAAAAAAATGCACGCATGCACATACGCATGCTATGGACGTCGGCTTTCAAGATGTTTTCCGTTTTTTTTGGCGGAACCTTTCTGTGTTTTTATGGAAATTTTCGCGATATTTTTTTGGATTTTTCGGAATTTTTCCGAAATGTTCGGATCAAAAGGTACATTTAAATATTAACTTTGTTTTTAGTGAATGCCTAAAAAAGTAAAAGCAAAAATTACAGGTTATTTTCAGCCTAAAATAAAAAACAGGCAAACATTTTCTAGTCTTTTTGCCTCGATACTGGGACTGATAGTATTAATCGAAATGGTATAATCGAAAAAAGGTCTACGAATAAGCGAAATTGGAGCATATGTTATACGACTTACCTGATAGCCATGCCTGGTTTCAAAAAAATCGCGGCTCAATATGCTTTGTGAAACGGATTGACACAATCGTTCAATATCAATAGCTTCGCCTTCGTTATCGCTCTCAAGAGAGCATTTGACCATATCTGGCGTCATTGTGTCAACAAGACGTGCAAGAAGCCAAAAATAGTCGCGGCATGCCGGTCCGTAAGGTTCCTTTCCTTCATCTGATAACAAATACTGTGTGTGCTGCACATAAGACGTCATATTTTCGGCAAGCGGCAAAAAGGAAATAAGCTTCCTCAACAATGGCGCCAACAGCACCTGGTAACTTTGTGCATTGCCCAAACAGATACGATACAGCCCGGCGCATATCTCACGGCGTACTGCCGGCTCAGGATCTTCCAAAATGAATTTTTGTACCCAACTACAATATTCGGGTTGTGTCCAAAGTAGCCGTCGCGCTTCTGCTGACGCATGAACGAAGCTCACCATGATATTCATAGTAAATTGAACCACCTGAGCACGCCCCCAGAAACCAGTACGCAAATGATGATATTGATATGGGTACTGGTATTGATATTGTGTGGTCGGAATCAGCGCAGCGTAGTAGTGGTAGGCTTCGTCGTTGAGTATAGCTGCCAAACGGCGCAGACAAGGATCTACGTTCATTAATTCTAGCATAAAAGCGTGTGGCCGTGAGACCACAACATGCATATCGTCGGCTTGCACTTCCTCGAAGCCCAACAGCCACAGCACGCGCAACAAGCTGGCCAGACAATCGTGGCGCCACTCATTGAGCATTTCACGAGGATGTGCGCTCTGCTGCAGTTGTCCGGAAATGAAAATTTCATAGAGTAAACGCAAGCCACCACAACGAACGAACACCTCACTCCATTTCATATCGTGTACTGTGCGTGCATTGCCACTGGATGTAACGCTAGCGCCACCACCGGCACCATTGCCAACTGCGCCACCCGCCGCACTGCTCCCGGAATCCACGGCGCTTGCCGCGAGTCTGCTATCTTTTTCATCGTTCAAGTTGGCATTGCTATCGCTGCGTTTTAGACGTTTGTGTGGACGACCAGCTAAAGGTTGATTATTTTCCTTGTCATGGTTGGGCACATCCTCGCCAGCCATTTCATTGCTGAACTCACTTTCAGCGCTAGCGCTTCCAGATTCTTTCTGCACAGCTCCATCATTATTTTCCTTCTGGGACAGCGATTCCAAAGCAGTTCCAGCGCTGCTAACACTTGCGCTACCACTGCCGCAGCCACTGCCACTGCCGCTACCACTACAGCTACTACTACCACCACTGCTGTTGCCGCTATTGTTGCGTTTGCTATCATCTTTTGCATGCAAGCTTTCGTTGCTGTTTCGACGCCTACTCGAACTCCGCTTTGAAGCACTACTGCCACCTTTAGTACTACGCACGTATTGATCCATAGGTATTACATTGCCGTTAACGCCACCACCTCCGAACCCACAGCACGTCGGACCATTGCCACCACCGCCTTTTTGCTGCAATACGCTGTTCACGGTAAGACTCTCAACTATGTGCAAAGAGTACATAAATTTTTGCAAATTGCTAACATCGAGCAACTCGTTTAGTTTTTGTTTTATCTCCTTGCGTTTGTTGGCCTGCTCTTCTTCACTGGTGAGTCGATCGAAAGCGTTCAAATCATTGCTCAGACCTTTGAACGCATCCAGGATAAGAGGGTTTGTAGGCAAAATGGCCAGTATATCCCATACACGTCTAGAGAGAAGTTGTGCTTTAGTGTGTAATTGCAAATTTGAGTTTTGTGGCTTCATATCGCCCAGCGTCTGCATTAGACAGAAAAGCTTTTCAAAGTAACGCGGCTGCAACAATAATACTGTTGGTAGGCATTCCTTCGGCGGTGGCGGCTGCATAGATGGATGATCGAGATTCGTCTCCTTGCGTCTAGCCCCACGACCGCCCAAGGACACATAAACAATCTGAATTTAAATTTGAATAAAAAGTTCAATTAGTTTAAAAATGATCGAATACGTAAAGCATGTCTGGCGCGGACCTGATTATCCTTGAACCCAGCATCGCCCAAACTACGCTCGTCATAGTCAGATGTCAATTCTTGGCCCTGTGTTATTATACGCAAAGGGCCGTCACTCAGCAAGAGACCTAAAACCGGTGCTGAGACGCCACCCCTACTAGAACCACCCTGTAGGTTTTCCCACCTTTATATCAAAGGGGTATTTAATTAAAAAATATAACAATGATTTTGTGATAAAAAATCGGCATACCACTTAGATATTTCAGCTTTAAGTTCAGCAATCAAATCGCACGCATGCATATGCAGGACGGACTTTTCCGAGAGGCCAGCTGGTTGCAACACAATTCGTATAGCCGGCCCAGCGGCTTCATTCTTCAGATTGCTGTGCGAGCACATACCTTTACCTTCGATTGCCCAACGCCGTAAATGAAAAGCATAGCGCCGTCGAAATGTCTCTAAGTGTGTGTTCAGCAGCATCAGGCCGCGTTGCACGCACATTAGCGCGTTCTCATCCTCATTACTGCAACGAAAAAATACAAAAAAAAAATAAAGTTATTTCTTCCACCCCATATAATTATTTAAAGCAGACCTTTCCAATGCGTTGGTAGCTTGCACCAAGTTATCCATACATTGTGATACAAATTCTTTTTCCAACCGCAGCTGCTGGCCCATGTAATACATATTAATGTACTGAATGGCAGCTAGGGACACCTCAGTGTTGTGCGCGCGCAGTGCGATCTTCCACAGATGATACATACCAACTATGTTGGATGATGTCGATGATATCGAGTCGGTTTGTTTTTCGTAGTGTGCAATAGCCATGCGAGCTAGACTGCACAATTGCTGAAAGAGGCCAAGTGCCACCATGGAAAATTCTTCGGGTCGCAATTCCGGCAGCTTTTTCAAGTACAAATGCTGCAAAGCATCAATACCCAAAGCATGCTGATCGCCACCTTTGGCTTGACTCTGCAGCCATGAGAAATAACAGTCGGAACACTCGCTATCGTGCGCTAGCCACTCCCACAGCGAATCCACTTGTTCCAATGTCAAACTTTAAATATTGAATTAAAACAGTGACGTTACAAATCAGTAGACTAGTTGTACAAAATGTAAATTTTAACATCATTAGCTATAATCCCTTAACACAAATAACACAGGCCGACCAAATTTAACCAACATACAGACCCAGAAACCAGACTATTTATTTCCGAAGGTTTATGATGCGCTGAATCCAAATCTGGCCTCAGAATTGCTCTATCAGCTCTGGTTTTCGAGATATCCTAACCTAAAAGTGCAAAAAAAACCGTTTTTGCCCATATTTGAGGTTATGTAGCCTTGCAGATGTTTTCTTTCACCAAAATAATAGGCTGGCATCTTTAAGTACAAGTCTTCTTCTTTCAAATGGCGTTTTGTTTGCTCGAATATCATTTTTTTCGCTGAGATATCGCATTTTGAAACTTTCATGTTTCTAAATTTTCCTACACCTGAAAATCGATTGAGATAACAGACATGATATGGTCGATTCATTTTTTGGTTACATCTTATGATTGTTGTAATAACTTTTTTGACTGATCAGCTCTTCATCTTTTCGAACTCTATCTAAATTGACCTCTATCTAGCACAACAATAGTTAGAGTTTCGCTATGTAAGTAAGTAAAATTGTAAACGTAGTCCTTTCATACAAAATTGTAATATTGTTCATATCCTTGCATACATATAATGTGAAATTGAAGCTACTTTATAGCTTTTACTAAAAATATATATACTTTTTTTTTAAGTTTGATAAATAAAAAATGAATTCCAGAATACCTTGCATATCAAAACTTGATACATTTTGTTATATTTGTAGGAATTTCCATACACAAAAGTTTCGTAGACCAATTAATGATTTAATAAAGACCTAATACTTACAGTGTTACAAAATTCCTATTACAAATTTAGACAAACCGTGGGTACCTACCTCTATTTGTAATGCTTGTCGCTTGACTTTGAGTCGTTGGAATGAGAAAGTCATTAAAAAAGATGTAGTTATTGAACCGATTTGGCGTGAGCCAAGTAATCACTGCTACTTTTGTAAATGTAATATAAATGGAATAAATAACAATAATAAGAAAAGTCTCATTTATCCTAAGGTGCAAAGTGTAACGCCAGCAAAGAGAGGTAATATAAGTAACTCTGAAAACATAAATTCGCTTCCAGTAGTCGTTCAATCAACGTCTAATGCTCAAAATAACGACTCCGAAGGTAGGGACTTTGAAAAGACTTTTAATGACGACAAGCCTAAATTGTTTGATCAGGATGGGTTGGATGATTTTATACGGGATCTCAATCTTCCCAAGAATTCAGCAGAATTATGTGCTTCAAGGCTCAAAGAGAGAAATCTTCTATTACCTGAGACGAAGATCACCGTTTATAGAAAACGTGAAGAAAAGTTTTTAAAGTAAGAAAAGTTTTTTTGCAATGTAAAGAAAATCTTATTACCACCACTCCATATCAAATTAGGCTAAATAAAGCAATTTGTGCAAGCTCTAGACAAGGAAAGTCAATGCTTCAAGTATATTAAATCTACATTTCCAAATCTAAGTGATACTAAAATTGGAGAAGGTGTTTTCATGGAACCCGATATTAGGAAACTTATGAGGGATGAAGATTTCACAAAAACCATGACAGCTGTTCAAAAGAATGCTTGGGAAAGTTTCAAGAGCGTTGTAGAAAATTTTTTATGGAATAACCGAGATCCAAAGTATAAATCTATAATATCTACAATGCTATTGAATTTTAAAAAGTTAGGTTGTTTAATGAGCTTAAAACTGCACTTCCTTTTTTCACATTTGGACTACTCTCCTGACAATGTTGGGGCATTCAGTGAAGAGATGGTAGAACGTTTTCACCAGGACTTTAAACAAGCCGAGCGACATTATCATGGAAGGTGGGATGAACGAATGATGGCAGATTACTGTTGGAGATTGAAGAGAAATGCTGAAGTGAAACGCAATCGCTTTCACAAGCAAATAAAATAATTTTAACTTTTACAGATTTAGAAAAAATAAACTAAAATAAACTAAAAATTAAAAAAATAAAAACAAAAAAAAAACAGAAAAAAAAGGAAAAGAAAAAAATGAAAAAATGGAGTCAACGCCGCCACGTCCTCGTTTCGTGACTCTGGGTTCGACTAAGAGCGGTAAGAGTATGTCTCTTTTTAATAAAATATAATCCTGAGTGGGTTAGCCTGCATGTGGTTTGGTAGGGGTGGTTTCTCGGGGTTAGGGGATACGGGAGTTGATGGGTTAACAGTTAAGTTGGTAAGCCCACTTGCGGTGTGAGATATCTAGATAAGACTTATTTTAAGAAAAATATGCGAGTAAACGCAGTATCCAGGGTTAAGTGGGGTAGCCTGATTGCGGTATGGTAGGGGTGCTTTCTAGGGGTTAGGGCTGTGTGTGACTCGGTACCCGTGGGTTAGATACCCAGTAGAAATCGGTTGTATGCATTCTTGAAGGATGCTTGCTATATGAGTGAATTAGTGTGGACAATTCATGCGTAGTCATGAATTTCCACGAATAAATTCAAATTCTATCGAATTGCAAGCGAATGTACTTTGTCGTTGTTTTAAGTACATTTCTTGATAAATTTGAAGTGGAATTTTTGTAACATTTTCAGTCTTGTACAAAAATTTTAGTGAACGAGCGTGTTGTGCGATACTATTTTCAGCACAAACGGGCTTTTACAAAATATGCATTTGCATATGTAAGTGCTACTTGTTCGTATGTCCCCGTATATTAAAATGTATCTGAAAAGTAGCATTTACATATGGCGATCTTGTAAGAATACTTTAATACTTTTCCATTAATGCATTTTTGTATGTTTGAAACATTAATACAGCCATATGCATACAGCAGTAGTACAAGTGTATGATTAAGGTACGCATACGCTCTGAGAAACCACGCGTGTTAAATGGAAATGAAGGTTCATTTATACTGGCATGTATACACAGCAGCAAGCTCATGCCACCAACAGCGATGTTGTATGCTTAAGATTTCTACTGGGTAGTGTAGGGGTTTGGTGAGTTAGCACATTTATAGTGTTCTCACACTTTATTTACACAAAATTTTAAGAAAAATAACTCAATTCGAGAAAATTAATAATCGACTATATCATGTCTATTTTATCTCAATCGATTTTCAGGTGTAGGAAAATTTAGAAACATGAAAATTTCAAAATGCGATATCTCAGCGAAAAAAAAAGTGATATTTGAGTAAACAAAACGCCATTTGAAAGAAGAAGAGTTGTACTTAAAGATGCCAACTTATTATTTTGGTGAAAGAAAACATCTGCAAGGCTACATAACCTCAAATATGGGCAAAAACGGTGTTTTTGCACTTTTAGGTTAGGATATCTCAGAGCTGATAGAGCAATTCTGAGGCCAGATTCGGATTCATCGCATCAAAATCCTTCGAAAATATATAGTCCGGTTTCTGGGTCTGAGATGCTGTCGGCCTGTGTTATTGACTTAAAAACTTACAAAATTTGTATGACAAATATCTTTGAATTTCGAGTTTTTCAGGCCATGTCCAAGGAGCAATAAACAAGGTGAAGTAATTAGGGTAAGCACATAGTAGAGCATCGAGCAAAGTGACGATTACAAACGTGAAAGAGCATATGAGGCATTCTTTTATATATCGGACACCATGGTTGGTGTCACACTTTCGATTGGCTTACAATTTTTTATGGGTTCTATACGAGAAATAAGCTAACACGTATTCGAGGAATTTTATTCTTTATTTTCTCCGGAGATATGTATGATTTGTCAAAGTTCGAATTTGTTCGTGATTCTCACTATTCATGTACCTCTTCAAATCGCAGACACTTCATTTTAAAGCTAAAGAAACGGGCTTAACATTTCTAGATATAAAAAATTGTCATGATTGTCCTAAAAAATCTCAGCTATAAACAGTTGAACTTTAGAAATGCATTTACATAGTCAAGACTAGGGTGTCCAAATCGTTTAAAAAAAAAAGCGGCCTTTCTGAAAAAAAATCGCCAAAAATCGTAATTTTTTTAAATAAAATTCATGAAATAGATTTAACAAATCTTTTATTTTAAAAATGTGATCTTGTCATAATATAGTTATTAAAACCAAAAACGAATATAATACCTTCGTAGGGTAATAATAAATAACACAAATAACTTATATAATAGTGATGTACACACAATTTTCTTTAAAAATACGAATACTTTTTAAAAATATTTATTTCAACACATTTTGCAATAGGACTGCGCAATTATTAAATTTATTAAAACTCATATTAATTGATTAATCGCACAATCTACTTTTAAAAGCGCGGCGCTAAAAATTAAATAAAAACCTATAATAAGGCGAGATCAGCTATTTCCACAATTTCTTCAAAGTCACCTATAATGTCTGAATGATTTACATTTCTGTTGTTGTCATATACTACTTTATTCGAACTATTGAATTACGGCTTTCCAACCTCATCCTATTTCGAATATTAGTTTTCGTTGAATTCATTACGGAAAAAACGCGCTCAACAAAGCATGTGAGTGCCGCAAGGGTAATAATATGAATTTACTTACATTTCCAAACATTTTATTGCCTGTTGCGGTTTTCACTCCGTAAGCAATTATCCAAAATTCTTCAGAGTCGGATGGAATGGTTCTGAGAAAAGTTATTCCATGGGAAAGTTAAAAGATTTAAACATTCAGTTTCCGCTGCTTTTCTTTCCTTCAAAGTCAAATAGTGAATTGGGAGGTCCCTGAAACTCGCCCTCTTGTGATTCTGGTGACAAAATCAAAGCTTTTTTAAAAGTATTTAATTGACTAGGTAATCGTTTCAAAAGTTCTTCGATTAGGGTGATTAAACGTTTTTGACAGTCTTTTAATATGCTTCTTAAGTCAAGTTTATCTCGCAGTTCATTAGCTTCTTCTGTAAAATTATCGTAGAAAACTAAGTTTTGTATATTTTTATAATTGGGAAAAATTTATTTGAAGGAAAAAATCGGCAATGGCAACTTCCTAAATTTTTACGGGCAT